CTATGTCAGTATTATCCGTTTGATTTTGGCTCAACAGATATCTCAGAACTTGACGATCAATTAGATAAATATATTCTTGATATACGTACATCCGAAGATTTAGAAGGATTACATGGTATTAGGATCTTGTACAGAAGTTGGTTGCAAAGAATAAATATGAAGTGTATCAATTAATCTACAAGCTTGTGACATTAACCTTAGTTCTGCCCGTGGCTACTGCTACAGTCGAAGATCATTTTATGAGATGACTTGTGTCAAAAATGTATGCGCAATAGAATCGGAGATCAATGGTTGAATGATATATTGAGAAAGATGTATTTGACAAGATTGAAAATGAAGCAATTATGGAACGTTATCAAAATACGCGAACAATAGAGAACAGTTGTAATAAAATATCTTTTACTTTAATTTTTTTCTTCACTTTTTGAAAGTTTGATTGTGCCCCCCGTTTAAGAATCTGCGTCTGCCCCTGTTTATGTCATGTAGGAATGGCAAGCTAAGCAGAGGGAAAAAGACGAAGGAACCGTACAAGAGGCGACAAGAAGAGGACGAGTATCGTGAAATTTTCTTATGGCTGAAAAATTATCTAGAAGAAAAGCTTCGAAAAACCAAGAAATTGGTTTCAAATTTATTAAATCATCTGAGTAAGTGGAGGAGGAAATCATTCTTTATAGTGTTGAACTTGCACATCCCAGATTTTCTGTCATTTTTTATGTTTGTAAATGGCACACTTGGGTACATTTTGTGTAAATTAGGATTTCTTTTGCTTAGTTTGGAGGTATAAATTCAATTCAGAAGCGAAAAATCAAACAAGTTAAAATAATGAGTGTGTCCTAGTAAAGAATTTCTTTGTCAATTACTAGAATTATTGTAAAAGAACAATAATAATACAAAGGCATAATGAGGCACACAATCAAATGCAATGCACTCTTTGCCCTCTCTCTGTTGTGGAGAAACCCATTTTGTCCTTTGATTTTTGAGTTATATGTTGGGTTTTTAAATATTTGCGTAACTTACTGGGTAGCAATAACAAATCGAAACAGCAAATGAGTCGAAGAAGGTTTTTAACCTACGCCTATGATCGAAAAAAGGAGGTGTTAATCACCTCTTGGCACCATTATCAGTAGTTTCTACGAGGACGAGTCGTTTTCTTCATTACCAAATTTTGGAGGTAATATCAGACGTTTATTTAGAAACATTCTTTAATTCTATTGGGCCCTGGTTGTTTCCGACTCGATTTGATTGTGTGTGAATAATTTAATCTCAAACGTTTCTCAACTTCAAGCTCCTTAGAATTTATTTTTCAATTTTGTTATTTTATGATGGTATTTTTCCTTATGCAATAACTATTTTATGTCAATATCTCTCTNAGCTCCTTAGAATTTATTTTTCAAAGTTGTTATTTTATGATGGTAATTTTCCTTATGCAATAACTATTTTATGTCAATATCTCTCTTGAATTTTTGATGATATTGTTTGTGACTTTCTCCTTGTCTTTAGAATTGGCTGCCCCTCAAGATATCTGTGAAAGCCATTTGTGGCTTTTTCCAAAGTTGGGCTCTATTTCTTGCTTTTCGATGATGTTGTTTTTAAGTTCCCACTTGACTATCTTTCTCAACTTTGTTTTAAGAGAAGCCATTCGAATTTTTTATTATTATTATTTTTTGGCAATTGATGCGCAACGTCTTGCATTTCCTTCACAAAAATGCAATGCTAAATACCATTAGAAATATTATTGCCGATTTTGGTGAAAATGGCGACTTCACCATATGAGCTTACCTTGCACATTAGAGTAAAACTTTTCACAGAGTGATATGTATTCAAAGTGAGGCTTAAAATTGATACCATAGTTGCTTTGCAATGTAATGCTTATTTGATAGGATGAGATATAAGTGAAAGGAGAGGTTGAAAATGAGATAATAAATATATTGCCCAAATGTGTATGAGAGTTGAGAGTGACTTGAGGCTCATTGTTTTTACTCATTTCCCAAATATGTATGTGAGTTGAAAGTGACACGTTAATCATTAAACTATCAAATAATGTGTGAAATGAAGCATAATCCTTCGTGATGATTTCACATTGGGTTATAAAGCTAGTAATTGCATTAGTAAAATGTTAGTGAAATGACCCAGGGCATGCAATCACTTGGTCGAGCTAAGAAGTCCAAATTGAAGAAGTCAACAAGCCAAAGACCTAGTTTCATGTTGGGATCGGAAGCCAAAAAGAGTGGGAAAACATTGAAAACGAGAAATCAATTTGGAGGCAGAAAAAAGCCTATGCAACCGCATAGGGAAAAAGGCATGAGGTCGCATGCCATGCAACGGGATTTGAAGGGTTGTATAGTTTGAACTATGTGACCGCATAGATTTATACTATGTGGTAGCATAGCACATCCGGCTGGTGCAATTTTCCAATTTTC